TTTGCCTGCTTAGTTTGTGGCCAAAGATTCTCTAGGAAGGGAACCTTAAAAATACACACCAGAACACACACTGGCGAGAAACCCTATTCATGCTCAGTTTGTGGTAAAAGATTCCCCCTGAAGGGACATTTAAAAATACACGCGAGAACACACACTGGTGAGAAACCTTTTTCCTGCTTAGTTTGTGGCCAAAGATTCTCTGATAAGGGAACCTTGAAAAGACACACCAGAACACACACTGGTGAGAAACCTTTTTCCTGCTTAGTTTGTGGCCAAAGATTCTCTCGTAAAGCAAATTTACATGATCACAAAAGAACCCACACTGGTGAGAAACCTTTTGCCTGCTTTGTTTGTGGCCAAAGATTCTCTCATAAACCAAATTTACATGATCACAAAAGAACCCACACTGGTGAGAAACCTTTTGCCTGCTTTGTTTGTGGCCAAAGATTCTCTCATAAACAAAATTTACGTGATCACAAAAGAACCCACACTGGTGAGAAACCTTTTGCCTGCTTAGTTTGTGGCCAAAGATTCTCTTGTAAGGGAACCTTAAAAAAGCACGGAAGAATGCACACTGGTGAGAAACCTTTTTTCTGCTTGTTTTGTGGCCAAAGATTCTCTCGTAAAGAAAGTTTACATGATCACAAAAGAACCCACACTGGTGAGAAACCTTTTGCCTGCTTAGTTTGTGGCCAAAGATTCTCTAGGAAGGGAACCTTAAAAATACACACCAGAACACACACTGGCGAGAAACCCTATTCATGCTCAGTTTGTGGTAAAAGATTCCCCCTGAAGGGACATTTAAAAATACACGCGAGAACACACACTGGTGAGAAACCTTTTGCCTGCTTAGTTTGTGGCCAAAGATTCTCTGTTAAGGGAAACTTAAAAAAGCACGGAAGAATGCACACTGGTCAGAAACCTTTTTTCTGCTGAGTTTGTAGCCAAAGATTCTTTCGTAAAGAAAGTTTACATGATCACAAAATAACCCACACTGGTGAGAAACCGTTTGCCTGCTTAGTTTGTGGCCAAAGATTCTCTCAGAAAGGAAATTTAAAAACACACCAGAACACACACTGGTGAGAAACCTTTTGCCTGTTCAGATTGTGGCCAAAGATTCTCTCAGAAGCGACACTTAAAAAAAAACACACACAAGAATCCACACTGGTGAGAAGCCTTTTGCTTGTTCATATTGTGGACAAAGATTCTATCCGAAGGGAAGCCTAATTAACAACACAAGAACCCACACTGGTGAGAAACCTTTTTCTTGCTCAGTTTGTGGCCAAAAATCCTCCGACAAGAGAACCTTAAAAAAAACACACCAGAACACACACTGGTGAGAAATGTTTTGCCTGTTCAGATTGTGGCAAAAGATTCCGTCAGAAGACACACCTAAAAGCACACACAGGAACCCACACTGGTGAGAAACATTTTTCCTGCTCAGTTTGTGGCCAAAGATTCTCGTGGAAGTCTCGGATTAAGAATCACAAGTGTGATGATGAGGTGAACAGTTATCAATGAAATTTTCCACTCCCATCTAATCAGGCTTCATCAGGCAAATTGTATTTCATCTACCTTCTTATTGAGATGCTGAGGTTTTCATTACCTTGAGTGCATTGAAAAGTGTTTTTCTTCTTTTTTTTTTTGGTTGTTGTCATGAATTAGAAAATTATCATTGCTAGTGATGTTAATACTTTTGGATTCTTTATATACACATATATATCTATCTATATATATATATATATATGGCTCTGAGTTGTGGTTTTTAAATGTAATTTGTTTGAACTCATTTTCAGAGGTTTGGTTCGTTGATTTCGTTCTTCGTGTTTTGAGGCAAAAAAAAAAAATTAACTGTCCCGTCCTTGACTGTGCAGCACCCCACATGTTGCGATACGTGTTTAATCGTCTTTTATTGAATGCGATCCTGAATAAAATGTACATTTTACATTTTGTCATGAAATGTGCGATGGAGCCATATGAATTGTTGTTTGATACTGTGTGTTACTTGCTGGTGAATAAAGTTTTCTTTGCTCAAAAAGCTTGGATCAGCCACATCTTCTTCAATATCCCTACCTCAATATCAGAGAGATTCATGACTGGTGAGGCACTATTTTCCTTGAGTGAGATATACAGAGATGAAATTCCTCCGGATTCTTCCAGAATTCCGGATTTTCAAATTTTAATGAAAATATCTCTGGAGAATTGAGGAAAAATTTCCTCAAATTAATCCGGATATTAGTTGGCAACATTAAACGAACACGCGTTTGAGTTCGTCGTTTTGCTTTCACGAGTGTAGCCGTATTGAAACACTAACACTCGTAACAGTAAAGAGATTTTTGTTTGTGTAATAACGACACAAGACATGATGGCGTTTGACTAATGCTTTTGTAGAACCAATGGCAACTCGCAACAGTAGCGAGCGGAACTTTGCCTCTTGGGTTATACCATCTCAACTAGAACGGGGGTATAGTCCCCAAACAATTTTCGTCTCTTTATAAACACACTATCTCAACCCCAGTGGAACGAATAAAAGACACCGTGGACAAGACAGTTTTTGTCGTAAAAAATATATTTGGATGAAAAGGGAAACACACAGAATGTCAGAAAAACGTGTCCGTCCGACTTTGCGTGTCATCTCGGCTAGCGAGCTTTGCTGTTGTCGTTTGTGACGTTGGTTGCGTCGGTGCTGATTAGTTGAAATCAAAAGACGCGCTTGCGTACATGTACGCGCTGACGCACGCACAGCAGAGAGCAGCGGACTATCTACTGCTGAGGGGCGCTGAGCTCGAGTGGCATCGCCACAACAGTAATACCCTCGCCTCGCATTGTCATTGTCTCGCCATATCTCGGAGATTTTGAAAGTTCGGCAAGAACGGAAGCCACAAAGGGTGCACAGAAGGAAGATTAATCATTGAATGTCGAGTATTTGAATAGCGTTTTGGGTAAACTAATTCATGCGTGATCGGCCAGGCGTGTGTGTGCATATGTGTACATACATACATATATATATATATATATATATATATATAGAGAGAGAGAGAGAGAGAGAGAGAGAGAGAGGGAGAGAG